CAGCCACGGGGAACTGCTATTTGTTACCTTTGGGAAACCTGCGGGTTGGCAACAGTACATGTAAATTTCAACAACAGGCAAGCAGCAGCTACCCAGGGTCATTTCAAATGGGGGAAAATGGCATGGGGGTGGGGGAAGGCTTAAGCCCCTTTCCCCCCATGCACCAAGGTCCTAATTTGCGTATTCCCAGGAATTAAATATCCCATGGGGAAGTCCCAGAAGACATCTGTCACAAGTCTACATGGAACACACATAAACTTTGTGTTGTGTCAATTCAGTGTTGCCATTCAGTGTGGCAGTCTTAAAGGGACATTTTGCATAGGGCAGTTGGTTTCAGGGGTGAAATAAGGAACTTCCTCCCCACTATAGGGACTTTATGGGGGAAATGCAGCTGGTTTTTTAAAGTTATGATTCTCAGCGAAGCAGTTTTAAAAGAACGTTCCAGTGCTTTGGAACCTCCAGAGTCCCAGTAAGATCCTTTACAATGCTCTGGGGAGATCACCGTGCTGTACTTCAGTTCTGAAGAGAAAAAATCAGGGCCTTGCTCCTCTCCCTCTCCTAACAACAGTGCTTTGAGACGAATTTCCTACAGCCCTGCAAAGGACTAGCACAGTTGTCTGGAAACTCCAGAGTCCGAATTCAGTCCTCTGCAAGCTAATGAGTCACCAGTTTTCATGAAGTAGTGGAATCTGCTTGTTTGAGTGCATTTCCCACCTGGTATGCCAGAGATTTCCCACTTTCTTAGCATGGTGCATGACGTTCAATATGGGAGAGAGTGATGCTAAGAACACAGCTAACAACATCTGCACAAATTGATTATAAGGAGTACATTGCTTTGCTACTCTTCTCTGACTGGTCTGCACTTCCAGTTGCTCATTTGTGCAGGTATTGAAAACAGCATTCCAAGAGGGTCTGGCATGTATAAGAAGGATAGATGCTAACCAGCAGAAGCGACAGAACTATGGCTCAATTGCTGCATTTTGTCTCTGGACAACCTACTAGCACAGAGCAAAGTTTAATACTGTAATATTCTAAACTTGGATTAAATCTTGGTCTCAAATCCCATTTTCTGAGTTAGTTTAAAACCAAGATTCCTTCCTCTCACAGTGTAAAAAAGGAAGGGGGAAATAAGGCATGCATGAGTGCTCAGCAACAAGCTGAAGTTGTGCACAATTTTGGTTAAATGAACCACCTGAATGCAACCTTGGGTGATTAAGCCGAGGATGCAAGTTTTGCATTATGTTCCTCAACATACATTGAAGTCTGTAAAAATTAATTGCTCTGCTGTTTGAATAAACCTGAATAAATGTAATTCTGGTCCAAAGACTGAGATAAATTGTATTTATTTATTTATTCAATTTCTATCCCACCCTCCCCGTAAGTGGGCTCAGGGCGGGTTATAAAGTCACAAAGATTGTGACATTCAGCATTCTGTTCAGCCTTGTGGCATAAGTCACACAGAACAAGATGCATAATAAATAGGTAAGTTGACCTTGTGTGCCTTTTCTAGAAAGGTAAACTGCCAAAGCCATCAGCATTCAGTCTTAATTACTGAGGAAAGTTGCAAAGTTGAGACACACTAAAATTCTCACAAAACTGCCATCAGATGGCAATTCAGTGGCAGTCAATGCAATTTATCATCTCAAATGCCTAAAACTGTAAAGACATCAATAGCACCAAGGGTTCTCCTTCAGAAACCACTGCACCACATGCTACTTCTGTACAAGGTGTTATTTCAGCCTTGTAATCCAAAGTTTCCTCCTAGGGACTCATCTTAGAGGGAACACTGCTTGTAATCCAAAGTTTCCTCCTAGAGAGTTCACAGGCTGTCCTGAAAACCTAGCACATAACAGTTTTAAACAGCTGAGGGATAGTTTCAGTTGCTCTTGAAGAAGAGTCAATTTGAAATATGCTTGTCCTTAATAATCATTATTGTTTCAGTGCTGTGTTGCCTCAGGGTCTAGCTACAAGTTACGTTTTCCTTATATCCTCCCCTGGTCCTGATGATGAACCATATGATGCAAGTTCTGTGCTCGGAATTCACCTCCAAGGTTTGTGGGAGCCAATTCAGACTGGGACCTCAGTGCATGGGGAGGGGGGAATTCCTCCTATGTCATTTTCCCAACCTGAAATGGCCCTAGAGAGCCATATTTACCCCCAGAGAAATCTACATGTAGGCCATCATCACATGTAGTTTCCCCAACAAGTCAAACAGCACCACTCAGGGCCATTTCTAGTCTGGAAAATAGTGCAGGGGGAGGGGTTCAGTCCCCTCTCCCCACACACCATAGTCCATATTTAAAGACTGAGATAAATTGTATTTATTTATTCAATTTCTATCCCACCCTCCCCATAAGTGAGCTCAGGGCGGGTTACAAAGTCACATAAAGATTGTGACATTCAGCATTCTGTTCAGCCTTGTGGCATAGGTCACACAGAACAAGATGCATAATAAATGGGTAAGTTGACCCTGTGTGCCTTTTCTAGAAAGGTGAACTGCCAAAGCCATCACCAGTCTTAATTACTGAGGAAAGTTGCAAAGTTGAGACACACTAAAATTCTCACAAAACTGCCATCTGATGGCAATTCAGTGGCAGTCAATGCAATTTATCATCTCAAATGCCTAAAACTGTAAAGACATCAATAGCACCAAGGGTTCTCCTTCAGAAACCACTGCACCACATGCTACTTCTGTACAAGGTGTTATTTCAGCCTTGTAATCAATGTTCCTCTAAGATGTGGAGTTCTACTTGGTGAGTTATTGGCATTAAAGTTGTGGGCCAGTGATTTGGCTGCTGCATAAATTAGTTTGCTCTGGAGACATCCTTCCTGAGCTAAAACAAAAATCTGTGAGCCAGAGGCTAAGAAACAGTGAGCTAGCTCACACTAACTCATCTTAGAGGGAACACTGCTTGTAATCCAAAGTTTCCTCCTAGAGAGTTCACAGGCTGTCCTGAAAACCTAGCACATAACAGTTTTAAACAGCTGAGGGATAGTTTCAGTTGCTCTTGAAGAAGAGTCAATTTGAAATATGCTTGTCCTTAATAATCATTATTGTTTCAGTGCTATGTTGCCTCAGGGCCTAGCTACTGCCTCAGGGCCTAGCTACAAGTTACGTTTTCCTCATATCCTCCCCTGGTTCTGATGATGAACCATATGATGCAAGTTCTGTGCTCGGAATTCACCTCCAAGGTTTGTGGGAGCCAATTCAGACTGGGACCTCAGGGCATGGGGAGGGGGGAATTCCTCCTATGTCATTTTCCCAACCTGAAATGGCCCTAGAGAGCCATATTTACCCACCAGGGGTACATGTAGGCCATCATCACATGTAGTTTCCCCAACAAGTCAAACAGCACCACTCAGGGCCATTTCTAGTCCCCTCTCCCCACACACCATATCTGAACTGGTTCCCCAAACATGGAGAAGAAGAACTCCAGACACAGAATACACAGTGAAGTATGATCATCAGGAGCCAGGAAGGTCATAAGGAAAATATAATGTACAGTTAGGCCCTCATGAGCTACAAATCGGAAAAGCCTGTGTTCAAATCCTGTTTCTGCCAAGGACTTCGTAAATGGTCTTAGGCAAGACACTCTCTCTTAACCACAGCCCCCACTCCATCATTTGCATTATATTGGATTTACATGATTAGTTGTTGTAGATTTTCCGGGCTGTATGGCCATGGTCTTGGCATTGCAGGACATGACGTTTCACCATTAGCTGTGACTGGCATCCTCAGAGGTATAACACAAAAAGATGGAGTACTCTCTGTGTCAATGTGAGAAGAAAAATGATAGGCAGGTAGTTTATATCTACTCAGGAAGGTGGGGATAGGTGTTTCCCAGGCTGTGACATGCTAATGGAGGAGCTTTCCTGAGGAGGTTCTTTTGCATATGGATTGACTGTTGAAATTCTAATCTTATCTGTAGTGCTGTTGTAAGACGTAGAGCATTTTGTCTTTTTCAGGACAGGAAACTATGCCCTATTTATTTTTAATCTCTCTTCTTTCCTGTTGAAATTGTGTTTATGTTTATGAATTTCAGTGGCTTCCCTGTGTAATCTGACATGGTAATTGGATGTGTTGTCCAGCATTTCAGTGTCTTGGTATAAGATACTGTGTCCTGTTTTAGTTAGGCTATGTTCAGCTGCTGCTGATTTTTCAGGTTGGCCAAGTCTGCAGTGTCTTTCATGTTCTTTTATTCTTGTCTAGACACTACACTGTGTGGTCCCAATGTATGCCTGTCCACAACTGCAGGGTATGCGGTATACTCCTGCAAAAGTGAGGGGGGTCTCTTCTGTCTTTTGTCGATCATAGCATTTGTTGCATTTTTCTGGTTGGTCTGAATATTGTTTGTAGGTTGTGTTTTTTCATAAGTTTTCCCATCTGATCAGTTATTCCTTTGAACACAATCCCAATACCACGGCCATACAGCCTGGAAAATCTACAACAACTAATGAACTCCGTCCGTGAAAGCCTTCAACAACACACATGATTGTTACAAGGATCAAAACAAAGCAATGTATTTAAGCACTCTGAATACCTAAAAGACAAGTGAACAAAATTTGAGTCCAGTGGCACCTTTAAGACCAACAATTTTTAATTCTGCACATAAACGCTTATACCCAGAATTAAACTTTGTTGGTTTCAAAGGTGCCACTGGACTCAAACTTTGTTCTATTGCTTCAGACCAACATGGTTACCCACCTGAATCTATATAAGACAACTGATATTGTTTTTGTGCACTGGTTTCTAATTTCATTTCCTAGATTCGTGGTTGTACCTCAAAAAAGGGGGGGAAACCTGTAATCAAAAGAACTGTGTTATTTCTAGGGGTTTTTTTTCCTAGAACAGATGTTTTATATGAATACACCAACATGGGTAAAAGTTCTCATTCATTTCTAGAAATCAAAAGTGACTGATCAAGGAGGACTTCATGAGCCATTGCACAGCATTGCATTCAAATACAGACAGTTTGAAATAAAGCTGCAGCCATACTCACAGTAGAATGTTTCCAGTAACGGACAATTTCCTGAATGTCTGTAGCTGGATTAAACAAGAAATGATCACGCCATTCGTTCCAGTCCACTGACATCGTCCCATCAGCATCGATGCTAAATAAAATGCCAAAATTCAAAATAAAATAATTTGCATATCACATACCATCTAGCCAGTTTCATTATTTTAAATAGTAAGTGAAAAACATTACGTAAATGCCAAAATTCAAAATAAAATAATTTACATATCACATACACCAGTTTCATTATTTTAGATAGTAAGTGAAAAGCATTACATGCAACTTGGCGCACATATTATTTTTAGCTCCTGTTAGGCAAATTTGTTCTGCCTCCTGATATTATATATTCACTTTAATGTTCAAAGTACTTAAGAATTTCATTTCTTTTTCTTTGTGCTCACAAAATCCCTGAGAGGCAAATCATCATCACTCATTTCTTTTCAGAGAAACAGAAAGAAATTTTGACTTTTTGTCCCAAAAGCCATGTCTCGCTTCAAGGAACTTGCAATCTAAAATTTGGCATTAGGGAACCAACAAAGGGAGTGGAGGAAGGGTACAGCTAGGATAAATAGAAGAATAGGTGTTAATTCCAGTGATACCTGCTTAGGTTTACAGCCAAACTACACTGGTGGATATGGGTCCAACTTGTGACTGCCAATGCCATTTTGGAGGGAAATTTAACCATCTAAAAATTGCTGTGAGGACCTGATCCTGATTGGACCCATAGTGCAGCAGCACCAGAAGATCTTATCCCTCCCCCACACCTGTTCGAGTGCCAAAACAGTTATGGCACTTTAAAAGGCATTGAGGGAGGGGAATATCTGGCCCTCACAGCAATTTTAAAATGTTTAAATTTTCCTCCAAAGTGGCATTGGCAGTCACGAGTTGGACCCATGCCCACCAAAACATGTAGCTTGGCTCTAAACGTAAGCATGTGTCACTGGAATTAACACATATTCTTCTGCTATTTATCCCATCTGTACCCTTCCTCCACTCCTCTGTTGGTTCCCTAATGCCAAATTTTAGACTGCCAGTTCCTTGAAGCAAGAACCTGTCTTTTTGCACTCTGTAAAGTTCTATGTACATTGATGGCACAATGTAAACGGATAGCTTACAAATGTAAGCCATGCCCAAAGAGAATATTCGTTAAGTGACAGCACCAAGATATGCTTGTTACCTTGTGATTAGAGAAGCTGGGGAGGCATAGAAACTCCCTTGGTTTGTTGGTGCAGATGCAACTCTTAACGATGGTTACAGGAAAGGGGTGGATCTCATGCAAGATCTCCACTGAACAATGGAATGTTCACCTGCAAAGTGGGATTTTGCCACCTCCCTCACTCCCTCCCGCTGCAGCCCAAAATACCTCCCGAAATGCTGTACCTGGGGGATGGGGGACCCAGTCAACAGTGAAGCGTGATTCAGCTAAAACCTGCCACCCTCTTCCATCAGCAGAAATGTTCTACTGGATCCAACCTGAAATGTGGATTGCAAACCACTCCAAATCATGGATTCATACCCCAGTTTGGAGCCCATCTTTCACCCTGGTTTTGGTTTTCATGCTTAAGCACAGCTAAGTCTTATACCTGCAGAAGCCACTATGGGGACATCTTTTTCTTATTTGTTTCTAACAGACATTTTGGTAACAGTAGCTAAGCATAAATCCCTGGAGCTCAACTAGTTCATGAACCCATTCCTCTTCCCTCTCCTTTACTCTCAGCAAACTTATAATGGGTGCAATTCAACATTTCTTTAATGTAGTTCACAGTGCTGGAATGTACACATGGGAGCCAAATAAGATAATGTTCTAACTGCTGGTCCGGATATCCCTAAGATTGCCAACACTTAGCAGTCAAACAGCAACACAATCCCACAGTAAGTGAAACAGTGTGAATTAAGTCACCCTGTTGGATGTAAGGTGAACTGTCTGTCCAGTGGAGTTAAGGCAGCACTGATTCTGCTTTTCTCAACATGGCGGGTTGTAGTGTTATTATAAGAGAAGATTTAGGAATGCACTTGAATTTTTTGACACAGACTGTGTTGCCACTTTCGCAGCACTGACTAGAAATAATATTTGCTGACCTTTGTAGAATCTTCTCTGCCTGACGTATTGAAATGTCTATACCCAGTATCTTGAGGGACTGAACAACCTCTGATGCATCAATTTTTCCTTTAAAAATGAGGAAAAAAGAAAACAGCCATTGAAAGGTTCTGCAGTTCCATGGCAAAACCATTTTATAAACTTTAAAAATAATGGATCTATTTACTGGTTGTTAAGAGAAGAACACTGGGATGGGAGTATTAGTAAAGAGGTCATATTACCAAAGCATAAATATCTAGATTGGAATCACAGTGCTTCCAGAAGTCAAAAATAGAGTCTCAATACAATCTACCAAAATTAATGAGGGTCCCATGTACATATTTGTTAAGTTTAAATCCAATATTAAAATTATATAACCTATTTGGAAAAAACAAAAAAACACAAATACTACATTAATATCTAACCCTTGCTCTACCAATAAATAAGGGCATCGAATGGGAAGCAACAGTAAAGAGGGACCCACTTATCAGGGATATTCTGACCAATGGCTAAGTAACAAGCCTTAACATGAGAACCACTAGCTGAGAAAAGTCTCTCAAAGAACTTCCCTGTAAGTAGCTCTGCTTCTGACGAAGGCCTACAGTAAATCAGCCAGTTAAGAAATGGTCCAGTCTGCCATGTCAAGCAAAAGGGTGAACTTCTCTCCTGAGGAGAATCAACTCATAGATACTTACTTCTATGTGTCTGCTGCTACAAGAACTCCAGCTAACAGTTCTGTTGTGGCACCATACTGGACACAGAACTACTGGCCAGAAAAAGTTTAATGTCAAGCAACATGCGGGTGCCCTTCCTACAAAAGACCCTCTCTGTGATGAGTAAACATCACATCCTGCTGCTTCACATGACCACAGGAATGCTTGCTCATATGTTATTATTCTGTTCCACATATATAAAAAGCAAAAGCAGGATTTCCTGGAGAATACCTTGCCTCTTCCTCTCCCAGAAGCGAACAGAGTAGTTTGCACACACCTAAAGTAGTACAGGTCATGTTTTCTGGCAATACACAATAATTTCTAACACAGAAAACGACACTGAGAGTTTGTGTCCTTTATTATAATTAACATTTTAGATAGGTTTAATGAGATCTTTGATAACTATGTGAGATCTCTTTTTGGCTTGTCTTGCTCAGCAGTTCGAGACCCAAGTGCTGCAAGACGGAGTGAGCTCCCTTCTCTGGCCCCAGCTCCTGCCAACCTAGCAGTTCGAAAGCAAGAAATTGCAAGTCGATAAATAGGTACCACTTCGGTGGGAAGGTAACAGCGTTCCGTGCGCCTTGGCATCTAGTCATGCCGGCCACATGACCACGGAAACGTCTCTGGACAGCGCTGGCTCTTCGGCTTGGAAACGGAGATAAGCGCCATATCCCTAGAGTCGGATTCAACAGGCTTTCAAGCAAAGAAAACCTTTACCTTTACTGTGTTGCTCTGCAGATTTTGAACAGAGAAGCAACTTACAAGAGTTGAATGAAGTTTGCTTTCTCCCCTTAACACGCCAGATGAGAGTACAAATCAGAACTTACCATCATTGTTTTTGTCTAGACTTTTAAATGCTAGTTTCATTTTCTTTTCATGGTCTTTAAGATAATTCATAAATTCTTCAATGTCCAACTTGCCATCTTGGTTAGTATCGCCAGCTGTGAAAATTTTCTGTTAAAAAAGGCATATTGAAGAAATGTTAGCAAGGGTTTCTGATAAAATCATCACCTTTCCAAGATGGATGTTTACCATCACCCGAAACATACATGTAATTTCTACAAACTTTAAATAAATAAAACTGTTCAGTTTCTTGGAAATCTTAATGGATTAAACCAAGTAACTAGTTTAATCAAACAACAGCCTTTTCTTTCTGGAGAAGGACCACAGAATCCCAATATTTTAAGGCCATAGCAATTCATACCTCAACCATTTTCACATATCTACAGGCTGGATGCCAGTTTACAAGAACAGAGGAAATGACACAAACTGTTGTCTGTCCTCAGTATCTGATACCCAGGGGTGTACTGACTTTATACATGGCTAGTGATGTCAGTATGACATAGTGGTCAGTGCACTGAAGTAGGATCTGAAAGATCCAGGTTAGAATCCTCCCACTCGGCCATGGAAGCTCAATGAATTTGATTTTTTAAAAACTACCTAAGTTAATGCTTACTATTTATTTATACCCTGCTTGTCTCCCAATGGGAATCTAAAATGGCCAATTCCTTTTTATCCTTACAACACTCAACCTGTGAGATAGGCTAGGCTGTGCCAGAGTGAGCGGTCCAAGGACATCCAACAAACTTCTGTGGCACAGTAGAGATTCAAACCTGGGCCTCCCAGACCCTAATCTGACACTATATCATGCATTATATAAAGAAGATCTTTATTTTCTCCCTGCTGAAATCTCCCCCCATCAAGTTTATGGGATAATCCCAATTTTAGTATTATGGGAAATCTCTGTCTCCCCACCATTCATACATTTAATAAAACAAAAGCCTCTACCAGGGAAATTCTAAATAGTCACACCCTTTTAAACCAATGGATTTAGAAGGGTATACATTTGCTTAGGTTTGCACTACACCAACCAAAACCCCCTCATGGATTTTTCAGTACACCTTTTAAAAAGAGGGATAAAAGGTTCCTAGCACCTCAAGCCCTCAAACTGAGTCTGAGGATTTGCGTAGATGTGCACAATATATTCAGCATGCATTCCTCCCCAGAAATCAGTCCAGTACTCCCATTTGGTAAACATTACAGAAGAAGACATAACGTTTTGTCAGCAGTACTCTTTATCCATCTGTTTCTGCCTGATTTCCAGGCTTTTTAAAAATCTACACTGCATCTTTGAAGAGTGCTATCTAAAAGCAAGATTAAAGACTGACTCCTCTCTCACATGTCAAAGGAAAGGGCACATTAAAGCATAGCTGAAGAGATTTGTCTTGATAACATGTAAACACTCTCTGCCCCCAGAGACTCTGTTACAATGCATGATGATAGCTTCCATGAAGTGTTTCAGGAGTACAGGTACCAAGGCTAGCATTACATACAAGTAAATACCAATACTGCATATGTATCACACTGAAAACTCAACAGAGATTGTGAAGTGTGGGATTTACATGTTGCAACTTCAGAAACTTTTTATCTGCTTTGCATATCATTTTGTTACGGCTATGAAAAGATTACCTCTGGATTTAGCCCAGTTGGCCATCCCTGCACAACATGAAGGAAATGAGAACTCTACATGGTTGTATTAGGTTCACAGTGTGTGTTAACGCCTGCTTTGGTTTAACTGGAGTTACAGAGAACAGATTCTCATATTTTATTTAAATCAGCAACCAATAACATCCTGCTGTAAATTTTTGCAAAGGTGCGGACTGCATCTGTTAGCAGTGTGAGCTTCCATTGTGATGTAGTGGTCACAGTACTGGACAAAGATCTGGGAGATCTAGCTTCAAATCTTCACTCTAGTATGGAAGCTTACTGGATGACCTTGGGCCAGTTTCAGCCTAAACTACCTCACAGGGTTGCTGTAAAAAAATGGAGGTGAGGAGAACTCTTGCTACTGAAACCAGGGAGCTCTTTGGGCCTGCCAGCCTCCTTACCGGTGAGGCTGCCATTCCCCCAGATCATCGGAACCCCCCACTGTCACTGAAGCCAGCTGGCTCTACTCCTGCCAACCTCCTAAATAGCAAGCCCATCTCCCCCTGCAGGTTGCTGGAGCTACCACCTCTATTGAAGCCAGGCAGCTCTCTGTGCCTGCCAGCCTCCTTGCCGGCAAGTCCACCCCCCCCCATCACTGGAGCAACTGCCACTGCACCCAGCCCACCTCCCCCAGCACTGCTGCTAGGTTCCCTGCTCCTTGGCCCCTCAGCTTCCTTCCTTCACCGTCACAGAAGGTAGGTGCATTGACTGCACATGCGATGCTCTTGTTCTGGGGGGATTTAAACCTCCCCGTGTAATTTTTTTTTACGTTTTCAGATTTTTCCGCAAACCTGGGAGGTCCCCCACATTTGCAGAAATATCTCTTTTCCCTTAGGTATCTGCAGATCTGCTCACACTTGAGAAATAGATATGCAGATGTGCGTACGTCTAAACAGGACTGAGCTGCAAGAAAGATTATATATAGTAATAAAATAAAGCATACCTGGATCTGGTCACTACTTGAATATGAGAGTGTGTTTGAGTTGCTAAATGTGCCCAGTTCTGACTTCCTTGGAGGCGAAGCAGAATACAAAACCAAACTGATCTGGACAACTGAAAATACTTTACAGTGTAATCCTAAACAGATCAATTTATGTAGAAGAGTATAACTCTGCTTAGGACTGCACTGTTAGTTACTCTGTAACTGTGACAGCAGCCATGAAATTAAAAGACGCCTGTTCCTTGGGAGGAAAGCGATGGCGAACCTAAACAGCATGATGAAAAGTAGAGACATCACCCTGCCAACAAAAGTCCTCATGGTCAAAGCAATGGTATTCCCAGTAGTCATGTATGGCTGCAAGAGTTGGACTATAAGGAAGGCCGAGTGCCGAAGAATAGATTGTTTTGAACTATGGTGCTGGAGAAGACTCTTGAGAGTCCCTTGAACTGCAAGAAGATCAAATCAGTAAATCCTAAAAGAAATCAACCCTGACTGTTCCCTGGAAGGCCAGATAATGAAACTGAAGCTCAAATACTTTGGCCACCAAATGAGAAGGGAGCACTCCCTGGAGAAGGCCCTGATGCTGGGAAAGACTGAAGGTCAAAGAAGACGGGGACGGCAAAGGATGAGATGGTTAGACAGTGTCATAGATGCAACGAACATGAAATTGAGCCAACTTCAGAGGACGGCGGAAGACAGGAAGGCCTGGCATGATCTGGTCCATGGGATCGCAAAGAGTCAGACTCGACTGTGCGACTGAACAACAACAACAAAAAAAGAGTGCATTCCCAGAGCTCTCTAGGACCTCTCAGCAGTTTGCAATACCATCAATCACAATAGCCTTCTAGATCACCTTGCTAAGAAAGGCCAAGGATGACGTGGGTATTATGTTACAGGAGATCCTCTCTGGCAAATAATGAGATCTGGTGGTGGTGAAGGATTGGTGCTCCACCCTGAGTTACTGGCAAGTTTCCATCTTATCTCTTATACTGCTCAACATCTACTTGAAACCTTTGGGGGAGATTGTCCAGGGATCTGGAGTTAAGTGTTACCAGTATGCAGATGACATCAGCCCTTTCCACCTAATTCTAGGGAAGCAGCAGAGAGTCAGAATTGGTATTTGGAGTTCTGAAACAGTCTAGACAAGGGTGAACAAATGAAAGATTAATCAAAACGTAAGTATGGTTGATTGGGAATACATCTGATCCAGGGAAAGGGTAGGTTGGGTGGGGTATCTCTGTCTTAATGTTCAGGCACAGATGGAGACCCAGCACTACTATTGTGCACTCTGGTGGTAGTGGCAGCACTGGGCAGAAGCACTCTTTAATTAATTTATTAATAATAATTAATTTAATCAGTTTAGGCTAGTTTGCTGGTTCTGCTATGTCTACAAACGAGTAGACATTTAAGCCTTAAGTAAATGGTGCCTACAATTTTAAATTTTTGGTCCATCCTCCTCTTGTTGGGAGTCATGTGTCTGTTAAGTCGGTGCCTGCCCTTTTTAAAGACACTACACTTGATCTTAGCCAAAAGGCTAAGATAATTTTTAGCTCATTTGTTTATAAGCTTTATTAACTTTCTATTGATATATTCTTTGTTAACCTTCCTGGGAGCTAAAACTAGCCAAAAAAGGTAGGTATAAATATTTTAAATACATACATATATTTAACAAAAAAGCTCCACATAGTTTACACACTGACATCTTGTATCAAATATGAAGGAGGAGGTGGTGTTCAAAAGTACAGGAAATATAAAATAAAGTAGCCCTTTCCAGTATATCTGATTTATAGAATGATCTACCACAACCTGAAGCAAGAGATTAAATGGTTGCAAGTCAGCTAAGCAGAGCTAGCAGCAATACATAAATGCTACTCCCTCCCCGAATCATACACATGATTTCTTTGTTCATAAAAATATGTGTTACTAAACATGAGTTAATAATAAGCCTGAGGCTACAGGGTTTTTTTTGTATATCTGATCATGGAAGCAAGCACTGGAACTGGTTCAAAGACCAACGTTCGCTATCCAGAAGAGCTGTTTAGGCCCCCATAATGACTTTATGTAATTACAGCCGTGACACACAAACCACGCCCTGGTTATCTCACAGGCAAAGGCATCTAGTATCTCAATTCAGTGGGCATATTGCCTCCTTCAGCTATTTTTCAGAAGAGCATTAACAAAGTAACGGGAGTAGTTAGATGCTAAGGGGGAAAGCTGACAAGGAGAAAATAAGGAGAAAATTCAGTTCATATTTTTAGTAGTCAGTTGTGAACACTGGTTTCTAATTTTCAGCTTCCAGTTCCACATACTAGAACTATATTACATTTTATCATGTTCTGGTGAGCTTTCAAATGGCTACATCCCACCAACAGGCACAGAGCTGTGGCTGCAGCCATTTCCCACATAAATACAGATACCCAAAAATGTTGCTTGGTATTACATGGCCCACAAGTTCCATTGCTATTCCTGACCTGAGAGCTAATTACTACAATATTGCACAACAGAAAACACACCTTACTCCAACACTACACATATAGGATGTGTTTCATAAAGCAATGTGGTGCAACAGGTTTGGTAATACCCGTATACAAAGTGATAGGGGTTTAAGATTTTCATTGATATCCATTTCAACAACTGTCTTTGCTAAGCAAACATGCTGCACTTGTTGTTGTTGTTCAGTCGCACAGTCGAGTCCGACTCTTCGCGACCCCATGGATCATCTCCCGCCAGGCCCTCCTGTCTTCCGCCGTCCTCTGAAGTTGGCTCAATTTCATGTTCATTGCATCTATGACACTGTCTAACCATCTCATCCTTTGCCGTCCCCGTCTTCTTTGACCTTCAATCTTTCCCAGCATCAGGGTCTTCTCCAGTGAGTGCTCCCTTCTCATTTGGTGGCCAAAGTATTTGAGCTTCAGTTTCATTATCTGGCCTTCCAGGGAACAGTCAGGGTTGATTTCTTTGAGGATTGACTGATTTGATCTCCTTGCAGTCCAAGGGACTCTCAAGAGTCTCCTCCAGCACCATAGTTCAAAAGAATCTATTCTTCGGCGCTCGGCCTTCCTTATAGTCCAACTCTCACAGCCATACATGACTACTGGGAATACCATTGCTTTGACCATGCGGACTTTTGTTGGCAGGGTGATGTCTCTACTTTTTATCATGCTGTTTAGGTTCGCCATCGCTTTCCTCCCAAGGAGCAGGCGTCTTTTAATTTCATGGCTGCAGTCACAGTCTGCGGTGATTTGATGACTAGGGAGCCATGTACCTGATGTTATCTGCAGGTCGTCTTGAAGAAACAGGCTCTGAAGAACTGCTCTTCCAAAAGCAGCATCAGTTTTAGCACAGTGCATCACCACCAGGAACTTCTCAAAGGCTGAAGTCAGTGAACCAATAGCAGACCTGCAGAGATATGTCACCAAGTATCTGGAGAAAGTGGCAGAATCAGGAGCCATAATGACCCTTTCACAGTACTAGCTTGCTTGATACGTTCGCATCAAACTTTAAAGCCAGGCATCTTTCCCGGCATTTGAAAGACATGTTTGCACTCACTGGAGAAAACCCTGATGCTGGGAAAGATTGAAGGTCAAAGAAGACGGGGACGGCAAAGGATGAGATGGTTAGACAGTGTCATTGGCCCTTATACAGGTTTCTCAAGAGACATGTGAGGTGGTCTGGTACTCCCATCTCTTTAAGGACCTGCCATAGTTTGTTGTGATCCACACAGTCAAAGGCTTTAGCATAGTCAATGAAGCAGAAGTAGATATTTTTCTGGTACTCTCTTGCTTTTTCCATAATCCAGCGAATGTTGGCAATATGATCTCTCGTTCCTCTACCTCTTCGAAACCCAGCTTGTACTTCTGGTAGTTCTCTATCCACGTACTGTTGAAGCCTAGCTTGTAGGATCTTGAGCATGACCTTGCTAGCGTGTGATATGAGTGCAATTGTGCGATAGTTTGAACATTCCTTGGCATTGCCCTTCTTTGGGATTGGAATGTATACTGACCTTTTCCAATCCTGTGGCCACTGTTGCGTTTTCCAAATTTGCTGGCAAATGGAGTGCACTACCCAAGGTCAACACTACAGCAAGCTGTCATTTATTTCATGTATTTATTTCATTTATTTCATGTATTATATTTTGACTACTTAGTGAGACCTACCGTTTGGCTTTTCTGCCTCAGGCACCAAAATGCCTTGCACTACCCAAGGTCAACACTACAGCAAGCTGTCATTTATTTCATGTATTTATTTCATTTATTTCATGTATTATATTTTGACTACTTAGTGAGACCTACCGTTTGGCTTTTCTGCCTCAGGCACCAAAATGCCTTAAGCCATCTCTCGCTCTGCGACTCCTGTAAGCTTCTACTAAAACTTGATGACACAAAATGTTCTCTTTTTACACAGAATGTTCCCTGTCTCTTGACCTAAAATTCATACAGGCCATTTCATATAACAGTTTTGAGGTGCATATTTAAGATGTTTAAAGCAAATACAGAGCACAAGTGTAACAAATGTGTTTGTAAGACTGCACATCATATAGGTACACTTGGAAGAGAACCACAAGTTGAATGCACTTGCCCACTGAGTACATCCAGGTTTGCCTTGATGTGTGATATAGCCAACAGGTCACCAGAAGATCTAGCAGTTTTTAATACAGAAATTGCTCCATTCTGATAGTTGTACTATCTGACCCTCAGGGCAGAACTACATGGTTAGTCAGATGCTGTGATTGCTGCTGAAAATAATCCCACATTTCCACTTCCTTCCCCCCCCCCTTAACATACAGTAAGAGAGAGCATTGAAATGTGGTCTGAAGGAAGATGGGACTTAAAATGTGGTCACCATCAAGTCACACATACTGTTACTTACAGCTAGCAAGGAAAGAGATAAGGGATTCCTGATCCAGGCTTTGGACACTCCAGTCCTATAACATGTAGTTCCACCATAAATACACCAAGGGTTGCAACCTTACCAAGATATTTTTGTAGCACTACTGTAAACGGTTGTGAACCAAGCTTTTAGCAAAACTGGAAGACAAACACTCCACTGAGCACCCATCTGCACAGTATAGATCCATTCAAACCCTGAATTAATTGCTTAAATTGGCACTTGGTTATGACCACAGGAAAAGGAAATGGCAAACAGCTTTACAGCAGAGCAAGCTAGGGACAGAGTGGAAACTAGGCCGTATGCTCTACACAGGACAAGTATGATTCCTCCCACCCACTCCCCTTAAATTAAGAAAGTCAAGAAGCCCAACCGTTTATACCAACTGCACACTTGGATAGCTGGATTGCTCTACTGTTTATGACCATGACTAGGCTAATCCGCCTCACATTGTTCTCTGTAAGCTCTCCTGAAGTCTGCGCTGCACCACTGAAGTTGGCCTCCTGACATTTCCCCTCCCCTCGGAGTCCCCAAGCCTCGCACCCACCTTCTCCGCGTCATCACCCAAGGGGATGCCCAGCGCCTTGAGGCCCGCCTGCAGCTCGGCAATATCCACTCGGCCGTCTTCATTGAGGTCTAGCTTCTTGAAGAGGCTTTCGTACCTCGAGCTACTGTCTGGCGCTTCGCAAGCGGCCTCCGGGAGGACAAAGCCCCTCAAGAAATGCAGCATGGAGGGGGGGGGGGGGGTGGCGCAGAAGGAAGGGGAATAAAGCAGTAGCCAGAAGCACAAGAGGAGAACAAGACAACGAGGATTAACGGGGAAACTGCCAGAGAGCACACTTTGGGCTCTTTTCCTCTACGCGCGGCTTCCGGGAGGAGCGAGGCGACGTTAGCCCGGGATCGCCCGCAAGAGCCAACGCCCTGGGAGGGCGCAGGAAGGGGAAAAGCAGGTTTCTGCTTCTCATTGGGTTCCCCGGGCTTGCCTGGTCACGGCCTGGGAGGGACTTGCTCCTTCATTCTTCTTCCCCCCCGCCCTGAGTCAACCAACGGGCGTGCAAGCGTGACAAAGGGAGCGGACTTCGCCGCCACGGCAAAAAGGGCTGCTTGAAGTGGGACCCGCTTCTAAACTTGCTGCGCTTTCTCCGGAACTCACTTGCGAAGCAGTTAATAAGCCAAATATATTTTGCCTTTCAGGGCGACCACCATTCTTGTCCTATCATGTGGGTCGTAAAATCCACATGGTGTATTGAAAGAGGGGACGTAAAAGAGACAGGAAGCGACTCAAGCCTTGTTGCTAGCAGACCCCCAGGGCAAACAATAGGAAAGCTACTCCGAGAGACTTAGGGTTGTCGACTGAATGCTGGGAAATTCCTGGAGATTTGAGGGTGGAGTTTGACGAGGGGAAGGAGATCAGGGATGTGATGTCACAGACTTTACCCTCCGAAGCTGTCATAGTCTTCAGGGGAATTGATCTCTGTAGCCTGAAGGACAGCTGTAATCCCAGGGGGTCTCCAGGCCCTAACTTCGGGTCTGCAACCACAGAAAGTCCATTTTTCAAGATACGCCTCCTAAGGAGATGGGATCCCAAACTGGAAGGGATGTTTGTTTGATTGATGTGTCGTTGAGTTGCAGCCAGTTGATGGCGACCCCATTTGTGGACCATTCATGGCAAGATATGAGCAGAGGTGGTTTGCTATCGCCTGCCTCTGCAAAGCAACCCTGGACTTACTTTGTGGTCTCCCATCCAAGTAGTAACCATGTCCACCTCTGACAAGCTTGGGCTAACCTGGGCTTTGGGAGTTGTATCACGTCAATATCCTGTCTTTTTGCCACTGGGAAACTCAAGGAGGTTTGCATGAAGTTCTCAAGAAATCAAACAGACCTGCTGAGTTTCAGTAAGGTTACGAGGCTGAGGTTGGTTCACAGTTCCTACTTCCTTATTTGCAAACCCAACCCCAAACGTTAATGACACTTTTAATAGTTCTGGATACCCCAAATCATACATTGCCAACCGGGATGTAGGGAGGCTGTGCCCTGCAATGAAACCTGTGCTGTTTCTCAGTCCACAGCCTGGTTTGAGGGCTCATTGTTTCAAAATAGGTGCCTACAGGAGAAATGAAGACTAAGAAATGAGGGAGCAGCTGCACCCCAAAATAAGCTTTGGGACACCCTTTGTAATACACTGGGCACTGGGGGGGGGGGACAAAGGGCTTATCAGGGCCGGGACGCCCAGAGTCAGGGGATATATGAATTGAGACTTCCAAAGCTTTTTTTCTGGGTGCAAAACTTTAAAAGTATCATCAGTATTTGTAGCTGGATTCACAAATAAGGAACTAGGAACCATCTTCAGCCTTGAAGCAACGCTGCTATAGCATGGCCTTCTAACAACAGCCAATGCAGCAGTGATATCAATGCAGTATCTCAGCAGCCTGATTTAGACAGTTTTGTGGTGTTTACGGTACTACTTCTGACTTTTATATTTGATTATCTTGAAGTGCAATAATTTACTTTCCTGGTGCTTTGCGAAATGCTCTTATTAAAACAGCACTACAGCAGAAGAGGAATAAAGTGCAAGCTGCCAAGTACCTTCATTATGAGTCATCCTGCTTGCCCACCTGCATGCAAGTTTGCTTTGCAAGGCTTTTCTTGCTGTATATAAAATGAACTAATTGATGTAGACCCTAATTTCAAAACAAGAACACAGGAGCCCCTGTGGGTCAACTACTATGTAACCAAAGTCCTTAACTATAATTTAATCCAAAGAGATTTAACAGTGCCCATGCCACAGTTGCCCTGACCTGGATAGCCCAATCTCATAGGATCCTGGAAGCTAAGCAAGGTTGGCCCTGGTTAGTACTTGGATGGGAGATGACCGAGGAAATCCAGGGTTGCTACACAGAGGTGGGCTACAGCAAAACACCTCTGTTTACCTCTTACCTTGAAAACCCTACAGGGGTCACCATACGTTGGCTGTGACTTGACATCCAAAAAAAAAAGCCACAGTCCAACACAAAGTTGAGCACATTGAAATCAGTGGGTTTACAGCCGGGAATATGTCTGAGTAATGGGCATAAGCATAAACTCTAAGTGCACTTTAGTCTGTGTTTGATTTTGACCCTTAGGTAGAATTAACTATCTGCCTAGTACAGTTTTAATTGACCCTTCCACTGAGTAGCTTGGGAGAGTATGCATGGCTGTCCTGTTCCCATTTTATGTTCACAACAAGCCTGTGATATAGACTAGGCTGAGAGAAAGTAACTGGCCCAAGGTCACTCAGTGAGCTTCCATGGCAGAATGGGAATTTGACCCTGGGTCTTCCAGATCTGACTCTGCCATTCTAACCACTACACCACACTGGCTGTCACACTTTTGGAACCTATGTTGGTGGATAAAAACTTGTCCTCCAATCAGAAGACTTAAATTCTTACTGGCGGGGGTTAACCAAAGAACTTCAGTATCTGTGGCTAAGTTTCTGTTTTCTGTAATGAAAATACGGGCTGAGTCAACCTCCTGTGTATTAATCTCCTCAGATTCTAACCCTTATACTTACCTTAAGATGAACAACCTATGTTGAGATTTTACATAGGTAATTAATTTTATAAAAGTTGATGTTTCTCCTTCTGAATGGCCTATGGGCTGTAATAACAACTAAACTGAAATGTCACATACTCACACGTATTATATGGTCATTTCCCCTAAGATGACAATTTTAGGCAAAACAATAAGAGTTCCTAACAGTTTTGAAACTTATAGAACCATAGAGTTGGAAGAGCCCATACAGGCCATCTAGTCCAACATCCTGCTCAATGCAGGATCAGCCTACAGTATCCCTGACAAGTGTTTGTCCAGCTGCTGCTTAGCTTCCAAGGTCTGATGAGATCAGACTAGCCTGAGACATCCAGGTCAGGGCAATATATAGTTTAGCTGCAAAAAGGCCACTGGGGGTAGGAAGGGATGTTTATTTCCCCCCCATGCTGTTTTCCTGATCATAGATGACGGAAGGGTATTTGAAGAATCAGCAGAGAGAGAAATGCACAGTGTGGGCGGCTTTTCCCTTTCAAGGCTTAAAGCAGCTGGGAAGGTGAATATTTGATCAAGAAAATGGCAGGGGGGGAAGAGTTAACTACCCCTTCCCCAGTATCCTAATTACAAGCCATACTCTCTCTGCACTGTGGCTCCTTTTTGCATCTAAATTAGATGTTGGGAAGGCTGATCACACATCCCAAGCATCTTACATACACTGAACATGCTTTAAGTGTACATCTAAAACATGAAGAATGAATGTGATGTATACTTGCACACACTTGCAGCATACGGGGCTATATATGCTGTAGTGGTTACAGTATTGGACTAGGATCTGGAAGACCCTGGTTCAAACCTGCACTCTGCCATGGAAGCTTGCTGGGTGACCTTTGGCCTTTCAGCCTTTCAGGGTTGTTGTGAGGGTAAAATGGAGCACAGGAGAATGATGTAAGCTGCTTTAGGTCCCCATGGGGAGAAAGGCAGGGTTTAAATGAAATAATATATGGTGTCTACCTACAGTTTCCAAATTGCTGTGCAAGCTGCATCCTAATATGTGGAATTAATCCACAGAAGTAGTCTTCTGTAGTGCAGGTATTCAACTTGCCATGAGTACACATACAATTTTCAGACCCTATTTCCAAAACAAATACTGCGCAACAAATATAACAAGTTTGTTTTGTTTCACCAGTTTTATATCTTGGCTTTTGATACTGTAAAATTGGTGTATAATTGAAAAGGTTATACAAAGCTATGCTAAGCTTCAAAGACATTCTTCTGATGTTCTTACAGGAAACTACACCCGTTCTGTGGGAGATTTTGTGATATTCCATATTCAGATCATCTTTGTCCTTGTGGCCTGGGTAAAATTTATACTTTATCTCATAAAATTTTATACTGTTTTTAGGAATTGATGGATTTTATCTCTTTTATCACGTTTATTGTTTAGTAATTCTCAAAGGAATGTTATTCCTTGATACTAGATAGTGATCCAAATATAACCTTATTGGTTGCTAAATTCCTGTCTATCATATTTTCCTTTAGAAACTACCTGAGTACTCTTTTAGTCATTGTTCAAGATCTATTGATCAGAGGAGCTCTGAAGAGGAAAGGAAAGCATTCAGATTTTAAACATACACATAAAAATACACAAACATAAACATACACATAATTAAACAAACTCACAGCCCCTCTCCCCCCACCAAATGCGCACTAGAAGAAGAGTGCTGTTACATGCTTTCCTAAGGCCCCGGTCACACGGGGAAAATTGACACGGCCAAAGTGCGGCTTTTTAGAGCCGCACCAAAAGAGACACACGGCGGCGGGATCAGACAGATCCCCTGAGCCGCTGTGCAGTTGCTCCCCGGCACGATCAGATGCCGGGGGGGGAGCCACGGAAGGGAGAGCGAGGCAGCCGGCTGCTCGTGTGTGCGCATGCGCAGTTTGGCCGGGAGCCTCGAATGCTCCTGAAGACAGGCACGACGGCGATCCCACGGCCGCGCTTGCTGCGACGTTTCAGGTTGGTGCTAGCATTTCCTGGGGGGTTTTTAATGCGTGTTTTCGGCCTGAAGGGACGGATCGGGGACGGGTGCGCGCTGCTTCCCAGATGTTGTGGTGTAATAGCGCCTGTTTGCTGCGCCCCCGATCTGTCCCTCTTGCGGGCCAAAACCTCCCATGTGACCGGGGCCATCATGTAACAAGTGAAGGCAC